GTGAATTTGCTCTGTAAACCTTCACCCAAATCAGAATTAAAAAAAAAAAAAAAGAAGTGACAAATCGTGGATTCAAATTCAGGATTTTCAAGTCCAAATGCTATCTCCTTGTTACTGCTACTTAAGTGAGAAACAAATAAAGTTGCAATGAAATATAAATAATTCAAGATTTGTGATTGCTTAATATTTAATAAATATTGCTTATACCATTAACATTTCCTTATGTATGCTTTACAACTAGTGTAGCAAATAAAATATTTTCTTTAAAAAAAAAACAAAAAAAAACCTGTTCTCAAGAAGCGAGAATATGTAAGGGAGGAGTGGTAGGAGATGGGGTTGGAGAGGCACACTGGGTACAGATTACACAGGGCCTTTCGCCATGGTAAGGACTGACGGCTGGGTTCTAGGAGTGATGGGAACTCAATGGACAATTTTAAGCAGAATGAACGACACAAATTGATTGTAAAAGAGTACTTTGAGTGTGTAATGTGGAAAAGTCAGTGTTAGGGGTCAAGAATGAAAGACAGAAAAACAGCAGACTAGTACTCTACTGAGAGAGACTGGTAGTGGCTTGTACTAAGGTTGTTACAGTAGAGATTGTAAAAAAGATTAAGGATATATTTGAAGGTAGGGTTTCTGATAGGTGGGGTGAGCCTGAACACTCGAATGAATGGTGGTTCCATTTCCTGAGATGAAGTAGACTGGAGGAGCATGTCTGGGAGAAAAACATCAAGAGTTCTATTTTGGATATGTTAAGTTTTAGTCGTCAGTTAGACATTCAAGTATAAATGTTAAATGGGCAGTTACATATGTAAGTCTAGACCTCAAGAGAGAACTCAAGGCTAGAAATATATTTGAAAATCATCAGTACATACATGATATAAAAGCCAACAATGAGATGATGTCATCAAGATCTGTACTGTCCAATATGGCAGCTACTAGCTACATGTAGCTTTTAAAATGTAATTAATTAAAATATATTAATATTAAAAATTCATCTTTCACACTAGCCACATTTCAAGTACTCAACAGCCATATGTATATAGTACAAATATAAAATATTTCCATCATCAAAAAAAGGTCTATTAGGCAGCATCAATCCAGAATATAGAAGAAAGAAGAAAACGTAAGAGCAAAATCAGACAGGAGGAATGAATGGATGAAAAATAGGGAGGGAGGAGGGAAAAGAAGTCCAAGGACTTGAGCCTTGGGTATTACAAATTTACAGGTCAGAAAGAGGAAGAGGAGACAGTAAAGAAGATTGAGAGTGGTCAGTGAGATGGAGACAAACCAGGAAACCAAATGAAGACAGTATTTCAAAGAGGGAATGAGGAGCTATAGTACATATTGCTAAGAAATCAAGATGACATCTAAAAATTGACCAAGGTCTTTGGCAAAACGGAGGTCATTAACGACCCTGAAAAGCAGTTTCAGTGTCATTATGGGTCTGAGTGAACTTTGATTATTCCATTAATCAAAAGTAGACTTTTTTTTTTTTACTTCAAAGCAGAGACATTCTACCATGTTTTTCTCTCTAGCAATGTCAAACCAAATGGACATGGAAAGGTTCTTAGGTTTTCTGAATAAAAAGAAGATAAAATAATCTAACAGATTTCACTTTGGTGAAAAAAATAGAGTTGGAAAAGAAAAAAAGAGCTAAACAAAAACCAAATATTGTATTCTATACTGTAAATTTTAAAACAAAAGAGGTGTCAAAGTTGAAATTCCTATGGTATAGATTCTCTCTGGATATGGTAAGCATATGTGATAAATATATTCAAATCTTGAAGACAAAGAAACTGGGTTTTAGAAGACCTATTACTTACCATGTAAACTGTTATCAATTTCAATATTTTCAGACATCATGGAATTATTTGTGCTGTAGCTCAGACCAAGAACCATTTGAAGATCAGAGAGATTCAAGCGTGCTGTTAGTTCACCACTTCTATCCCCAACCTACAACCACAAGCATTTATATTTTAAACAAAGACAAGAATGATGAAGATTAGCTGAATATGTTGTGAACCTAAGATTGGAATAGAATACAGAGAAATGAAAAGTTACATTAGCATTATGGGATGACAACATTTTTTTTCAATAATAGTTTTTTCAAAGAATATAGAAAGGAAAGGAAAGTTTCTAAAATATAGCAATAGAACAGCTAATTATATTCTATGAATTCTCTTTAGTTCTCTAAATTTGGATTGCTCTTTTTTCTAAGATTATATTAAATGATAATCTAGGTTATCTCATGACACATAACTTAAACATCACACAAATGAAATTTCCTTAGAAAATTTTATTTCTATACAGTAATAGTAGTTAGCATTTATTAAGCCAGTGCCAGACAATGATGCTAGGTACTTTTATATACATAATGTTATATATATTATCCCTAATACTTAAAACAATTTGCAGTTATTATTTTCATTTTATAGATAGAAAAATGAGGCTCAGAAAAGGTTTCCAAGCTCAAATAGCCAAAAAGGTGACAAAACTGTAATAGGAATTCCTGGATTCTAAAAAACCATGCTTTTTTTCTATAGAATGCTAGTTCTCCATGTGGGGTTGGAGGTAGGGCGGGAGTGTATTTCACTAATGTCTTTCCATTACCCTACGCCCAGCCTTACCTTCTGTCTTCCTACATCAAGGCCAATCTAAACAGACCTCTGATTTGTATCTCAGTGCTGTGTACAGTTCTTACACCAAGAGAATAATAGATAATTCAAATTTATTCAGCCATAGAGGAACAATGTGGAGAAATAATAGAGTTTTATCCCCACCAATATGCAAATCACAATAGCACAGAGAGTTTAGTTTCATACCTCTCTTGAAATTTCCAAGTGCTTTTCAGCAAAATGCATTGCTTGATCATGATTTCCTAGTGCTGTGTACGCATTTCCTAAGCTCCAGCAGGCTCTTCCTTCACCAATTCTGCAAGATAATTCACAGCTAATGTGCAGTTATCTGAAAAGAGGTCTATGTGCAGAATAAAAGCTATTTAGCTATAATTAAGGATAGAAACAATGCTTTGGATTTATTTAGTCTTTCATATAAAGAATATACTATCAAAATACTAGAGACCTATTAGAATATCCAGATAATACTGAACTCAGAATCAAGTATTAAAATATGGAAAACATTTGTTTAAAAAAGGTAAAGCATTTTCTCAGGGACTGGTTTACCCCATTTTCTTTCTATGACATCCCTACCACATAATCATTCAGTCGGTGTGTGGACATCACCAAGGAGAGACAGCACACTACCTCTTGAGGTAGCATACTTTATTTTGAAAAATTATATAAATATGTCTTTGTTACACTGATGTAAAAATCTGTCTTTCTAAAGCAAACAGAAATGGACTAAAAGTCTACAAAGATATGTTGCTTTTTTCATAGTTAAAAAAAGAATTAGCCACCAACATTCATAAACCAGAAGATGTCACATAAAACTCAGGAGTTCCAGCTTCTCTTGACAAACATGGGAAGATATGGTCATAACAGGCCTTTGTTCCTGCCTGGCAGCTATGAGCTGGGGTTGAGTAGCAGCCGTCCCTTACAATGGGCATTATCTCTAAGTTCACCACAATTCCCACAATGATTTAGTCCGAAGAACCTTGTGGGTAGCTGAGTTTGTGACCTATTCACTGGTCTTGCTTCAACACCATAGGAAGCCAGTCTAATTCTCTATCACAACGTAGTCCTACACACAATAATAAATGAAGGATATTATTGAAATAGGAGCTCTAGTGGCATAGTGTCTAAGGAATTTGACTGCTAACCAGAAGGCTGGCGGTTCAAACCCACCAGCCACTCCTCAGAAAGAAGACTGGGCAATGTACTTCTGTAGTGATACCGCCTGGGAAACCCAAGGAGGGGTCACTATGAGTCAGACAGATCCAACCTGACAGTAGTGAATTTGGTTTGGTTTTGTATATTACTGAAATGGAAGAAATTCCTTTAAAAGACATTTTTAAAAAGACAAAGATAACAAAAGGAAAAGAAGCTAAACAAAAATAAAGGAAAAATCCTAGAGATTCTATCATGCATCTGTATTTTACCAAATCGACTCGTGGCAATAGGTTGGGGCTTTGGGATATGGTAAAAAGGTTTGTAACTTACCTATCATTTAGCTCTTGAGCAATTGCTAGGTGCTTCAGATGATAATCAATGGCCTTTTCATAGTCTTGAAGTAAAGTGTATGTGTTTCCAAGACTGTAACAAGACTGTGCCTCTACAGCTCTGTCTTTGAGCTGTCGAGCCAAAAGTAGTGTCTTCCTGAAGGAAGAAATTAATTCTTACATAACTATCATTTTTATTTTAAGCTATAATGGTTATAAAACTTTCACTTTTCCCTCTCTGCTTTTTTCTGCATTTAAATTTTTTTAGAGCCTAATACCCTGTACTTTCTCTACTACTTTAAGACAAAATGAAAAGACCTTTATGGAACACAAAAAGCCAAATTCAGACTTTTAGAATAAATGTGAGAGCCCAAACAATTTATTGGAGAAAAGGAGTACTGAAATGAGATCAAATGCCTCTAAAGATTTATAAAGTATTTTTAACATTAAAAAAACATCTCTTATTGTATTACTGATTACTTAAAGAGGATTTTGTCCATGTAAACTCTTTTTAATCATCTGTTGCCCTTACATTTTGTCAAAATTTTAAATACTTAACAATTAGTATTCTTAATGTGTAAGCCATTGGTCACCCCCCATTCATGAAAAATACGGCATTTAAACATTAAATAAATTCTACCTAATACGTGGCATTATCAATCAGAAGCTAATATATTGGTTAAGAGTATGAACCCTGGAGCAAGACTGTATGGGTTCAAATCCCAACTTTGCCAATTACTAGCTCTGCCATCTGGGTAACTTACTCAAACTCTCTGTGCACCAGTTTCCTCATCTGTAAAATGGGGACTATACCTCACAAGGTTTTATGAGGGTTAAATGAATTAGTGTATAAAGTGCTTAAAATAGCATCTTGCTCAGAGTAGATGTCATATAAATAATACTGCTGTCATCAATGCTTAAACCTACAGATGCTTTTGGAGTCAATATATTTAAATGCCTCTTTCTCATAATTTCTGCCAAATAGTATGAATACTTCATATCATTTATAATTATATAAGAAATGACTAATGGTGATGTGATACATTTTTTTTAAGCAAACTTAAAATTACATATTCAATGATAGTACCTTTGAAACAGTCACCTTGGGAAACCACAAACATTCTAATGTTGTCTGTCCACCAAACATTTTGAGAAGACTTTTGGAATTGTTTTCACATCTTGTGGCATGACCCTTTCTAGCACATTATTCTTTGATGGTACAGCTGATTTGTAAGTGGTCAGAACTCTTTCTGCAATCAAATTTAATTACTAAAGTAGGTTCATCACACTACTGTTTTTTTTTAATTATTATTTTTCCTGAAGGATATGAATCTATAATGATAAATGAGATCGTCTTCTTGTATAAATCGAAAACAATTCCAAAGGAGAGTTCCAGAAATACTTGTAACCAATGTATTTGGAGTCTGTGTAAAGCTGAATTCTAGTTTTTATATAGGGGAGGGAAAGTAAGTTTCATTACTTTGTACTCATGTGTCTTTGGTCAAATAGTTACCATTCAAATCACAATAGAACTTTTTAGTATTCAATATAGATATACCATTCTTCTATGTCTTTTGAATTTAAGAAACTTTTATATTTAAAATAAAAATAAATACTCCTTTCATAGTGATATGTTTTATTTGGGAAAGTATTTCATATGTGGGAGTTCTAGTAGCATAGTGCCTAAGGCAACTGACTGCTAACCAGAAGGTTGGCAGTTCAAATCCACCAGCCACTCCTCAGAAGGAAGACTGGGCCATCTACTTCCATAGTGATACTGCCTCAGAAACCCAAGGAGGGGTTGCTGTGAGTTGGATCTGACTTGATAGCAGTAGGTTTTTTCTTTTTTATTTCATATGTAACTGATCAACCAATAAATATTAACTACCAGTCAATATTTAAAGCAGGATGGATGCCATTCTATTTTTCAGATACCCTTAAACCAATTTTACTTGTTTTCTAGACAACAAATTACCTAGAACTCTCTCATACCTAGAACTCTCTCATATTGGACTCTCTAAAATTAAAATACAAACCAATCAATTTGTCTTTGGTCCAGTCAAACCGGTTTCTGCCTAAGGTTTGTATGGAACTGCTCTCCCCACTAACAAGGGAAAATGCTTAACAATCTAGAAAGCACAGACTAGGCAACCTGAAGTCATCTAAATTTTGCTATCACTTACATTTCAATCTGTTGAAAGATTGGAAAGACTACGCTACAGAAGAGCTGGGACTGCCAACTCAAGTAAGGGAATAGGACCTCTACTCCCAGTGAGAGTCTAAGGGGGCAGAAAGAGGGTGGGAGGATAATTGCTCAAGAGACTGTGATGGGGGAATAATTCAGCAGTCTTTGGTGGAAACTAAAGTAAGCTTTTTGTTACCAGGCTATCTTTTGGCCTCTCTTCCAATTCATAACTGAGTGAAAAAAGCATATGCAGATACATACTACACATGCCAAACAGGTTTAAAAGACTAAAAGTTTAGAATTTACTTTTAAAACAACTAGTTTTAAAGATAAAAACTAATGAAAATATAAAGGGGTCTATACTGCTACTGGGAGCACTGGTGGTACAGTGGTTAAGCACCTATAAAAGGCTGGCAGTTTAAAACCACTAACTGTTCCACAGGAGAAAGATATGCCAGGCTGCTTCCTTAAAGATTATAGCCTTGAAAACCCTGTGGGGCATTTCTACTCTGTCCTATAGGGTTGCTATGAGTCAGAATTTAACTTGTAGCAATGGATTTGCTTTTTTATAATGCTACTAAAGGAGCCCTGGTGGTGCAGTGGTTAAGCATTTGGCTGCTAATGGAAAGGTCTGCTCTGTGGGAGAAAAGACCTGGTGATCAGTTTCCACGATGATGGCAGCCTAGGAAACACTGTGGGGCAGTTGTACTCCATCATACAGGGGCTGCTGTGAGTCAGAATCAATTCAATGGCACACAACAACAACATACTGCTACTGATTCTTACGTACAGTAATATTTATTAAGCACCATGTTCTAAGCAAGTGCTTAATATATTCTTGAATTTAATCCTCACAATAACTCCAAAAGCAACATATTAGTATCTATCTTATGTAACAGATGACAAACTGAGACTTAGAAGCCCAAGGTCGTGCTGCTGGTATGCAGCAAAACCAAAACCCAAAGGCTGTGATTTGACAGGATTGTGTAGCTAATCATTTTACTTATTTACAGAAATATTACACTAACTTGTAGTATTCAGAGGCAGTTTCAAATTCACCAAGAAATATATATGCATTTCCAAGGTTGCTATATGCTCTTCTTTCAGCTGCTTTATCTCCAAATTCTTTTGCAATAAGGAGACGCTGAAACAGAAAACTGTAATTAGATTTGGCAATAATAAAAACAAACTGAAGAATTAGCTAATCACTGTTCAAAACTCTGATGGAAAACATGAGCCGGCTCCAAGGCCTTCCATCATACCTGCTCGTGAGCTATTACTGCATCCCTGAAGTTGCCTAGGAGGTAATGTGTGTTTCCAAGATTTCCAAAGGCACGTCCTTGGGCTGCTCGGTCACCCAAAACAGTCACTAGTGATAGGTTTTCCCTAAATGATAACAAAAAGTTTTGAAAAATTAAGTTTAGAAGAAAAGTGTTATTTATTTACAAATCTAATTCTTTTTATCAGAAAAAATTTTTAATAAGCTTACAGCCATAATGTGTTACATTTTAAAGATACATATATGATGAAGGGGGTTTATAGGAAATAGCTGGGAACATTTTTATTGAACTACTCAGGAAGTTTGTACCCAGAGTCAACAATTCAACTTACTGCTGTGGAGTTGGATCCAACTCATAGTGACCCCTTCTTGGGTTTCTGAGGTGGTATCTCTATAGAAGCAGGCTGTTCAACCTTCCTTCCGAGGAGTGGCTGGTGGGTTTGAACCGCCAGTCTTCTGGTTAGCAGTCAAATGCCTTAGGCACTACTCCACCACAGTTCAGATTTAATCTTAGAACCTCTATAGTTCAGAAATTATATAAAATTCTAAATTTACTTCAAATAACTTAAACCAACCATTGTAAATCCTTACTTTTGCCACTAAGTGGCACTGGTCTGTGGTTGAAATGAAAGCCTTCACAGGAGGGATTACACTAACATAATGCTATTATTTATTTATTTAATGCTATTATTTTAGCAACTGATCTGATGGTTTATTTTGATTTGTTACCCCATCATTTTAAAACTTGCCAAACATAAAAAGTTACTACTGGATAAAGAAGGTCTTTATCCGGTCCTGCTCACTTAGGGCCACATGACTGCTTCAGTGCTACTTACTCATAATAATCAACGGCTGCCTGCAGAGCGTCTCTTACTTCCTCTGGAAATTCTCCGGTGTCCTGAGGACCAGGGTAGCCAAAGCTTTTCCCTTTGGCGTGATACACATTTCCAAGATTGTAAAGTGCTCTTGCTTCTCCCACCTAGATGGAACATCATCGGAGTTTATATTTGGAAATCCAAGGCCAGGTATTAGAATGTTTAGCACATATATTTACAATATCCATGATATAACGGTCAAGGGAAAGAAGTGTTTTCACTGACAATTCATACAGAACTAAACAAATGATGACTTATAAAAGAAGGACCTCTCACTCTTTCCTTTTCTTCTCTGTTTTAAAATTTGTATTATGTTTTCTTTTTCTTTTGCCTATGAGTATTTTTGTCATTAACTTATAAACTACAGAATAAAAGCATTAAAACACAAAGTCAATTCCAATGAAAACATATGGCCTACCAGCTCATGTTCCGTATTACCTTGTCATTGAGCTCTCTGGAAATATCTAAGTGTCGCTGACAACAAACAATAGCTTCATCAAAATTCCCAAGAACTTTTAAGGTATTTCCCAAATTACCACTAGCTTTGGCTTCTCCCAACTGGTCTCCAATAGTCCTGAGGAAAAGAAAATAGTATTCAAATATAAAGCAGCCAGACCACGGTTAGTTTTCCCAGAGGATAACTGATAAGTTTTTAGGGTAAGAAAGAACCATTAGCCTCGAAACCAACTTTTAAATGAAAATTGAAAACTTCTATTCTGTATTTAAATTTAATTAATTTTCAGTCATTTAGTAAACTCTAGGGTCATTTCATCCCTATTCATTCATTTAATTAAACTCTGTGTTCAGTCTGCAGATTACTTTCAAAAAGTGACACTACTGAACTAGGACTCATTAAATGTACTTATTTTTTTTTTAATTGAATGAAACATTTTAAAACAGTTAATTAGGGAAGACAAATATTAAAAAGCTTAAATTAATTACCTTGCAAGAGTTAAATCATGATGATGGTATTCTAATGCTTTGGCATAATCATGCAAATAGAAATAAGCATTGCCCAGCTGACTGTAAATAGCACTAAGTGTTTTTAGATCTTCAGTTCCAACTTGAACTGCAGCTTCAAAGAATGACACGCCTGCACGGCAATCTCCTGATTTACATAGACGTTCTCCTTCCAAGGCCAGTTCTAGGCAAGAAGCTTCCATTCTACAAAATTATACAGGACATTTACAACACGACATTACAATTGTACCACAGTATTTTTTTAACTTCCAGTAATATAACTTAAAGATGAACTATGTGGTTACTCTGGCTCAGAACAGCTGCCTCTATAACTGAAGTACGTATCTGCATTATTGATAACCAGATGGCAAGACCTAATTTGCCTATTCAAATTTCTCTGCACCTCAGAGGTCTGTTATATAGGCTGGTTAAATAACTTTATAGGAGGCTTATTTTAATGGGCCCACCCAGAGCAACCCACTCTACCAGTAAGAGACACTTTAGCACTCCTTCCTAAATTGTTTTGTGTTATGGCAAACCTATGGATTTCCTGAGAGTTTGGGGAGAATGAAGGGTGCCGAGGAAGGTGAGGTGGAGTGAGTAATACTCTTCTGTATCCAGATGATTTATTTACCTATCTATCAACCCTTCTTCCCACCATCTCTTTCTATTACACACACACACACACTTACACAACCATGATGCACTCCTTCGTCTCTTTCTACCAGATGACCATCTCTACCCTTAGAAAACCAAGAGTAAAATATCTTCATCTACAAGACACACTTTTACAAGAGAACTAAGTAATCAATAAACCTTAAGTTATAAAACAATGGTTTGATTTTCAGAGATTCTACTTCTCAAAGTCTATCCCTGAATTGAAAAAGCCAGAAGAATTAAATCACTGTGAATACCTTTGGTGATACATCAGGTTCCAATATGAGGCTTAAGAAGAGGCCCAGCACTGAAGATACCTTTGTGTTTCTTCTCACACCTTTCATTATTTCTGCCATGTTTATGTACTGCCTAATTATCTGCTTAATGTGTTCCTATAATTTGGCAAACTGCCTTTACCTTGGCATTTAAAATAATCTAGCTTCATCCAAAGCTGTATCTGTGAAATTAAGTTTGATGTAATATTTATTTATATATTTATGTTATAACACATATTAAAACAAATACGTGATTAAAATAAAAATGTGAGTAAAACCATCTTACGTACCTCCAGTAGTACACATCATCATCATCCTTTGGAAAATTCTGATGTCGCTCATCAAGCATTTTAATTTTTAGAGTAGACTAAATTATTCCTTACTAACACAGTCACTATGTGTCAAAACTGATTCGACAGCAATAGGTTTTATTGAACAACTCTGATAGAACACACATACACACATCCCTGGCCATACAGGACAGAATAGAACTGCCTCATAGGTTTCCCAGGCTGTAAGCTTTACAGGAACAGACCGCCTTTCTAACAGAGCAGTGGTTCTTAAACCTGGCTGAGCAACCACAGAGCTCACATGGAGCGCTTTTCTAAACTCCCAGTATTGGGTCCCACTCTCTGGGAGTCAATCTAGTATTTTCAAAACTCCCCCACCACCCAGGTAACTCTAATATACAAGCCAGGCTAAGAATCATTGCTTTATAAGGAAACGTGAATTAAACCACTACTCACACTAAATTTATTCAAATATGATTATACTTTTGTGTATCTAGTAGCAGGTGAACACGTTTTCTCAGATGTTGTCTTTCAAGTCTTTAAAACTTCATGGTTCCTTCGAGCCTCAAATTAAAATGGATTGTAAAAGTAGGAAATAATTCTAATGAAGCTAAAACTAAGGTTTGGACTAACATGAACAAAGCCAACTGAATTCAAAGGCCTAAGGCAGACTTCTGAGTTCAAAAGAAGCAGATTTATGCAGTATCTCTAATAAGTAATTTTCAAGTTTGACATTCAGGTAATCTTTCTATAATCAAATAATGTAGACACTGGTTACTACTTGTTCACAGAAAAGTGATTTCAGCTTCATTTCATGAATCTATGCAAATAATGCAAGTAAACCTAGATTTAACACTTTGCTTCAAAATTAGACCATGCCAATTGGATAAAGGAAGGAAGACCTAAAGTATATAAAAAGATAAATTGAATTAGAAGTCTTAACTCCCTATATTTCTATCGCTGCATGTCATTTTGCAATAAGCCTATTTTTGTCTTAAACAAGTAAAAACTTCTTTCAGAACTGTATCTTGAAAATGAGAGATTTTATAAAAGAAAATAATTCAGTATTTCTGTTTTAAGATTTTATCAGATTACTGGCATATTCTGTGTGTAAAGAGAAATGAGTCAATAAAAATTGACATTCTGACTCATGGTGGCCCCGTGTGTGTAGCCTTGAACTGCTCCACAGAGTTTTCAAGGCTGTGACCTTTAGCACGCAGATCGCCAGGCCTGTCTTTTCAGGTGCCTCTGGTGGTTTAGACCACCAACCTTTAAGCTAGTAGTTGCATAACCATTTCTGCCACCCAGAGACATGTATGTGTACATCCAGCAATTTCAGTGCTAGGAATTGATTCTAAGAGTGTGCTTACACAAGTTCAAAAATATGTATGTAAAAGGATGTTCCCAGCAGCAAAAGATTCTTCCTAATCTTAAATGTCAATTAATAGACTACTGGTTACAAAAATTACATGCCAGTATACAGGAGAATACTAAAGATGGCGCATGATTTTCTCGAGTGAGCGGCAGAGCCATAGTCACACAAAGCAGCACCATCAGTTCTGGACAATCTACTGATGGCCAGAAAGTTGAAGCTGGCTATTTATATGTAAGACATTTAAAAATCAGTTTATACCAATGCTTGAATATATTCATATACAGCAGGGAGGTCTCTTCTTCAAATAAGTATCTTCACAAGTATTTTACCTTCTTGATTTAAACTTATACAACATTATACTGAAACCATCAATCACAACGATGTTGCAGCAAACAAAATTTAACTGTAGGCTTAACTGTGTCATAAAAAACAAAAACAAAACAAAAAACCTACTGCCATCAAGTTGATTCCGACTCACAGCGAACCTCATTGGGTTTCCGAGGTGGTAAATCTTTACAGAAGTAGACTGCCCTGTCTTCCTTCTGTAGAATGGCTGGTGGGTTTGAACCGCCACCCTTCTGGTTAACAGTCAAATGCCTTAGGCACTGTGCCACCAGAGCTTCTTTAATTGTGTCATAAGATGTATGAATTGTAAAAAAGGAGTTTACAAAATTATTATAAACAGTGGTAACAAACTAGAATCCTGCTGCTATATGGCTGTCCTAAGGCAAAGGCAAGGAAGGAGCTCTGGTGGTATAATGCCTAAGGCATTTGACTGCTAACCAGGAAGCTAGCAGTTCAAACCCACCAGCCACTCCTCGGAAGGAAGGTGGGGCAATCTACTTCCATAGTGATATCGCCTCAGAAACCCAAGGAGGGGTAGCTATGACTCGGATACAGCAGAATGTTTAGTATTTTGGTTTGGAAGGCCAAGGCATAGGACTGCCACAGAAGATAAATTGCCTTAAAAAAATGCTCTAAAGAAAGTCCCAAATTTTCTAATTTATGATTAACTCTGAGCTATACTATGGCTCTGACATGATTTACTAGAAAATGAATCAATAATTTTGGCAAAATCCCCAACACCTCAATCAAATACATCTAATAGCAAAATTGTTAGCAGCTATCTGGGCAGGTTAGTTTATAAATTTTTCAGAAGATCATTAAATAGTAACAGAGAAAGTAATTTCATATCCTCTCCGTCTCTATGAGAGACTAGAATTACTTCATTTGTTTACCAGTTAGGTTGAAACAAAGTACATACTCAGACTCAGGAGACAAACCAGGAAAATACCTCTCCTTTCAAATATACCCAACATACAAAGTCTCTTTTATTCTTCCTAATGTTCTATCTAGTTGTGTCACCAAGGAAAGTGCTTTTGTAGTAACTAAATAAACACAGTACTACTATCCCTGACTGAAATGTTTTCATTTTTACTAACAGATTGAACATTTTAGGTATAACTCTTCATTTTCTACAAATTCAGTTCTGGTGGTGTAGTGCCTGAGGCATTTGACTACTAACCATAAGGCTGGCAGTTCAAACCCACCAGACACTCCTTGGAAGGAAAGTTGAGCAATCTACTTCCGTAGTGACATTGCCTTGGAAACCCAAAGAGGGGTTGCTATGAGTTGGATCCAACTTGACAGCAGTGAGTATGTCTGTCTACACAAAGTCACGTTGTTTCAACTTATTACTACAGAAAGGAAAACTGATGCTCAGACTGGTTTAGTGACCTGCTTAAGGTCATACAATGTCAGAGCTGAGAAGTGAAATTCTGTTTTCCAAATCCAGTATTCTTTCCACCAAACCACATTATAGGTAGTCCCCAGGTTACAAATGAGATCTATTTCTGTGTCTTTAGGTAAATGCCTTGTTGTTGTTGTTGTTATGTGCCGTCGAGTCAGCCCTGACTCATAGCGACCCCTCCTTGGGTTTCCGAGGCAGTATCACTACGGAAGTAGGATTGCCCAACCTTCCTTCCGAGGAGTGGCTGGTGGGTTTGAACCGCCAGCCTTCTGGTTAGCAGTCAAGTGCCTTAGCCACTATGCTACCAGAGCTCCCTTAGGCACTGTAATCACTTCAAAGTGAGAGCAAATTTACATATAACATTACAGGGCAAGTAGGAGTTGTCAGTAAGTCTGATGTTTATAACCCAGGGACTACCTGTACTCCAAACTACATCTCAGACAACAATATTATTAACAACTACATCTTTCTAGGGAGCTCTGGTAGTGTAGTGCCTAAGGCACTTGACTACTAACCAGAAGGCTGGCGGTGCAAGCCCACTAGCCACTCCTTGGAAAGAAGATGGGGCAATCTACTTCTGTAGTGATACTGCTTCAGAAACCCAAGAAGGACTCACTATGAGTCGGGTCCTACTCGACAACACATAACAACAACAATACATCTTTCTAGCAAAATTGAAGAACTTAACACCAAAACTGTATTCCTTTATAATTTATGTGTATTAGTCTAATATTTATAATTGTAAAGTACTGAAATGTTTAGATTTAAAAACTAACTCCATTTTACTATCAGTCTCCATTTCTCTCTACCTTCCCAAATATTTCATATAGATCTTTCTGAGATCCCTCAAAAGGTTCCTTAGTGTCCAAAGAAAATACTGCATTTCAAAATTAGAAAGTCATTGAGGCACAGAAACTCCTGCAGGGGTAAATGAGAACCTCCACAGTGGAAGAACCAGATGTTCAAATGTAACATGCTACGTATTTACCACAGTAGATGAGTAACTTATACTAGGCCATGACTCCTAGCATAAAGGGTACAAACCATTCCTCCCATTTATACAGCACAACAATTCAATCAATACACAGAATTCTGACCTTAGGGTACTGACGAAAACAGTTATATTCTTGCTAAAGACAGCAACAGAATTTTAAAACTTCCCTTGTTGAAGTCCTTTACCAATGTATAATCATGAGTGACCTCTGCTGTGTCAATGAAAAAGGACAAATCTAAGATCTTTTTAAAGGCAGAGATACAATCATTCCTCCTTATCCACTGCTCTTACTTTATAGGAAGCATACTACTCTTCAAAATGTTCAGAAAGACAGATACACATCTCATCAAGTTCATTTGATGGTTATGTTTAAGTCCAGTGACGCTCTACGGACATTTTATCAAATGTGGACTATGTGCTAAACATGCGAGGCATCACAGATGTCCTAAAGGAGTTAATAGTCACAAAAGAGAAAGGCAAAAGAAGAGATAGCCATATAAACAGATATTTTTAATTTTAATATACTAAGTGCTAAGAAAGATAGATGCACAAGATGCTACGTGAGTACAGAGAAGGTACAAAGCCTAACTATGAAGTGCAGAAATGGGTATTTAGGAGGGAATTCAAGGCAGTGGGTATCCATAGCAAAGGTACTAAGGCTTGAAATAGCATAACATGTGCAGGGAACCAGAACTCAAATTACAAGGTAATGAATGGTTGTTGGCACAAGTAAGGCTGAAGGAACAGAGGTCAAATAATGGAAGCTCTTATGCACTACGTTAAGCTTGGTTCTGCCACCCAAAGGCATTAAACAGAAAGATTACATGGTTATCTCTGTGTTTTAGACTGTGTTTACTAGCAGCAAATTTAAAAGGGGGGTTTCCAGAGGATACAAATGGAGAATAGAGGTAGGTACTAAAGGAGCTACTGTAATAGTCTGAAGGGAACATGTTTGGGGCCTGAAATACAGTAGATGAGAAGATGGATCTGAGAAACACTTAGGAGGGAAAAACTGGCTGGACTTCATGAAAATGAGGGTCCCTCATATATTAAAAGCTCATCTTAATTATGTTCAATGTCTTCATTTTCTTTTCTTTGAAACGTAAAATTTTTAATAGAAATGCTTCATCTTAAATAAACTTCCTTGGTACCATGCCTTAACATGAACCATCTACTCCACCGGTGACAAATATTCTAAAATTCTGTAGCAAACCTTCACTCATCAGAGACTTTTAATTCTATTCATTGCTATAGCAATGAAAATTTAGGTCCAGTTAAGGAATTAAAATTTTGTTTAATAATTAATGGGTTATAGTTTTGATTATTAGTATCCAATCATCGTACAAATAATTATCTTCCATTTCAATATTTATGCTTATGTTTATTTTATGGTTTGGTATACTGACCAGAACATCTAGGAAAATGTTAATTAACTGAACAGAACTTCTAGAACAAACGTTAAATAACAATGGTGATACAGATATCCTTGCTTTGCTCCTAACTGCATCAGAAATGCCATTAATATTTTACCACTAAATGTTAAACTGGTTATTGGCTTATCATGTTTAGAAAATACCTGCCCATTCCAACTTTATTTAATTCTCATTCTTTAAAAAGCTCATTTATAAAATGATTACCATTTAAAAATTAAAACACAAATGTTTAACCATATTAAAAAAAAAATCCATGTTTTATCTCCAAAGATTTTAAATTAATATTCCATTTTTACATTTAAGTGATATAAAGTTACAAAGTAAAAAGGGGCATTTCATAAAAATTCTTCCAGAGAACATTCATAAACAAATCATAGTATATGTTTGGTTTTTACTACCATTTTCCTATAGAAAGAGTATAAAACATTACAACCACCACAACAAAAAGAAAATATTGTTAACAGAAGGTACTAACTGTGACTGGAATACTTTGAATATTTTCAAATTTAAATCTGAAATGGTTAGCATTAAATACATGTTTAAATAAGGGTTAAAAATCACCTACTAGGAAAGCAATAGTCTTACCTGTAACGAACATGAAAAGAATGGTCTTCCCTCATGCTTATCAAATTTTCCTCCATCGAATCATATTATAAACTGAGTAAAATATGAAATTATTTTGTCCCAATCCAGTTCTGAACAATGTAGAATTATTTGCAGAACAGAGTCCGGTTAGTATATTAATGAGTTGGTGTTAATATATCCTAAGCTCCTGCTTCTTCTTTATTAATTATGAAAGGAGGTCAATGTCAGACAGCTTAAAGGTTCAAAATGGGTCCCAAATCCTTGCATCTCTGGCCCTTTCAGCAGCACCTCAGCAATATTTCTGCAAAAGGAATACAAGATGCTTTGCTTGAAGTTCTATTTTCAAAGAATAACCCATAGTAACCCCAAGCTGTACATAATCACATAGCTAACTCCACAGTCTGCGGTCATGTCAGTCACTTGAGAGAAACTGCAGAGGGCTTAACTGTAGCCACAGGACTTCTAATAAGGATGTGAATATATGACCAGCTTCAGATGGGTACTTAATGGTTTAATTTTTTAAACTGGTTTGAAGTACAATAAATTATGTAGTATCTTCTATTATAAATAAAATCAGAGTAATCTATTATATTAATAGAGATCCTATTAGTATCTAAAAACAAAATTATGATCCTTCAAGCTTTTAAAAAGTGCTATAAGCAAGTCAAATGAAAATTCAATAATTACTTGAACAAGTTAATTCTAAATAAACTCCATAAATATGTTTTTTCTAAAAGGTTATCTGTGCTGATAATTAGGCTATAGTTACATTCATCTACTCTGAAAAAGCATTCTTTAAGATGTTTGTTTTTGTTATTCTGAGTAGCTACAAAGGAAATTTAGGAAATATGTACATAGTAAAAATAATAATTACACAACTGAAATTTTTATAACACCACCCAGTTTAAGGTAAAGAACATTATCATCATTATTGCCTTTGAAGTCTCCCAGGTGCCCCGATCTCATCTATCACCTTCCTCTGCCTTCTAAGTTAATAGCTAAACTGAATTCTATTTATCAGTCCCACATTTACCACAAATGTTTGTATAGCTCCAAATAATATACTATTTAGTTGTACATGCTTTTGAACTTATTAAATGGAATAATACTATGTTTTCTTCCGTAACTTGTTTTTACTCAGCATTGTTTCTGAGATTCATCCCATACTGTGCATGCAGCTAAAATTTGTGTTTGTTTTCCTCCTGCATTTTATTTTGCTGTTGTTGAGAATATATACAGCAAAACATACACCAATACAACAGTTTCTACATGTACAATCTAGTGACACTGATCACATTCTTTGAGTTGTGCAACCATTCTCACCCTCCCTTTGAGTTGTTCCTCCCTCATTAACAAAACTTCACTGCTCCCTAAGGTTCCATTCTAATCTTTCAAGTTGCTGTTGCCAACTTGATCTCATATAGACAGTCCTTGAGCATCCCGCTCAAGGCAGACCTTTTTCACTAGTCAAGCTAAAGTATTGTTTGGTTTTAAGAAGGCTCCAGGGAAATTTTTGGTTTGAAGTTTCAGGGGTTCATAGCTCCAGAAAGTCTAGACTCTATGAGATTTTGAAATTCTGTTCTCTTTTCTCCCCTTTTGATCAGGATTCTTCTGTGGAATCTTGGATCAAAATGTTCAGCAATGGTAGCCAGGCATCACTCCATATCTTCCTCCTAGCCTTGACTCTTCTTCTTGCACTGTTTCTCCATGTGAATAGAGGTCAACTGTTGTATAATTCGTTCATTTTTAACATTATATCATATTCTATTGTACATCAAATATATCTTTGTGCTATTGATGGGATTTGCTTATTTCTAGGTTTTTTTTTTTTTTTTTTACTATTAAAAGTACTGCAATGAACATTGAAATTAAGAACTCAAAGTACAGGTTAAGCATCAGGGTAGGTAAAGATAATGAGAGAATAAGTAAACTAGAAGAGTATCTGAAGATATTATTCAAACTGTAAACAAACAGATAAAGAGATGGAAAATACTAAAGAGCAGTTCAGAGAAAAGGAGGAAAACATAAGAGGAATTAATATAGGTATAATAGGAGCACCAGAAGGAAATACAGAAAGAGGAGTAAAGGCAAAATCTCCAGTGAAAAAGACAGAATTTTTCAGAACTGAAGAAAAACATGAATCAGCAGATTGAAGAAGCACAGTAAGTTCTGAACAAGATAAATAAAAATGAACCCATGGACAGAACATCAGGTATAAACTATAATCTTTAAAGTAACTGTCCAGAGAGACAAATAAGGAAAAGACATATGTATAATAAATTAAAGCTGATATATCAATAGATACAATAATAAAATCCTGAAACCCTGTAAGTCAATTAGTCTAATGTCTTACAACAGCACTCCCAGGAAGGTTATAAAGCAGCTAATCCTAATTTTGAATAGTTTTTTAAGAAAGTTGTTCCATACATTAAGCCAGTCTTTCTATTACTACCCATTCATCCTGGTTCTTCCTTCTACTGCCATATAAAATAAGACTTTATTCTTCTTTCACGTAACTGTCCTTTTAAGTGTTTCAGCTATCACATAATTAACACCCCATGCTCTTGTAAATTAGAGAGATGTTAGTAGGAAACAGAGCAGTAAGGGACCTGTATGTGGAAGAAGGTAGAAAGGAGAAGGCTTGGGAATACTGACAAAGCTTCCTGGACAAAAGAGGTTTTTAAATTAATAACCAGTCTGGTACATGAGAAACACAAAATACTATTCCTCTCATCCCTTCCCTAGGCCAAAAAAGGAAGCAGTGTCTTTTGAGAAAGAATGAAAAGTAACAGCTTTTCATTCAACAAATCTCTCTTCTTCTCTTGTCCATTGTGCCCCGCTTTTCCTTAATAAAAATATTATCAAAGGGAATTAGTGTAGATATTCATAGCAATAACTTCAAAGGGCATCAGGTTATAGAATAGCTAAACTGTTCAACTATCTTCCCACATTCACTATGAGGCTTAGGCTGTTTAAAACGGAGCAGAAGGAAAGGTAAGGTAATTGTGCTAGATTTAATTTAAACATTTATCTCAGTCATGAGACCATGATGAAATTGCAATTTTTATTGATCATTATAAATATGTTCATTTCATACTTATTAAAATGTAAACATGTAGCTAAATTAACAAATGTATATAAAATGAAGTTGCAAAATACCTTACCAAGATTACATAAAGAAAATTTTTTTAAATAATTAAAAAGTAAGATGTTTAAACAGCTCTTCACTATTTTCATAAGGACAATTTATAATATAGTTTTACTATTCTCAAAAGATGAGTATCCAAAAAAAGTCACTCTTACATTACAATCTTTATAACAATTACTAAGTAGTGTTTCTCATCTTAAAATTACTAACCCAACAAATGAGCAACTCTTGATTCAATGATTCATTCATTCAGTGATTGCAAGAACTCTATAACCAATTTAGTTACAATGTGTTCATTCATGTTCCATATTGTTGTTAGCTGTCTTCCAGTCACCTCCTCCTCACCCCTCAGGGCTGATTTTACAAAGTAGATCGCCAGGCCTTTCTTCCTAGTCTGTCATAATCTGGAAGCTCCATTGAAACATGTCAGCATGACAGTAATATTTAAGTGTCTACTAACAGATGGTGGCTGCACTCAAGGTGCACTGACTAGGAATTGAACTCAGATCTCCCACATGGAAGGCAAGAATTCTACCAGTGAACCACTACCCCCCATTGCACGGAATTAACAAATACACTTCATATTTAAAACACAGTTTATATATTACAAGTATAATACTAATAAAATTTGTAACAAATTCTAAATTTTAATTTGTTAATTAGGATAAGAAAATTTAATTGCAGAACTGGGAACTGGAATGGAAAATATAGGTTTGGAAGAATAGTCAGAGGTCATCAAGTTTAACCTCTTACCTCCATTACATCTTGCAACCAGTAATTTGCAAGGAACACATACCTCCCTTAATAGCATCTTCCAGGTTTTAAACAATGCTCCAAACACTTTACTGCTAACAAAACTGTTACCTCAAAGCATTTTGTAGTCTGATCACAGAGAAATACAGAGAAACCAATAATTTTTTCTATGTATCAGAAAGTGACAGAAGCTACAGAAAGATCAACCAGTACAGAACTCTGATTGCCTCACATTTAATTACCTGATTAGCAAGTCAAACATGCAGACTCCATTATATGGCTAGGTGGGCTTGTAAGCACTGTCCAAGATATGCAGAATAGACAAGAAAGGCTGGTTCTTACCAAAGAAACGCAGGTTCTGCTTTATTCCACTGGCAGTAAAAAATATGCAAACTAGGGAATGGGGAAAATGAAGGATAGATAGCTACATTTATAACCTTTGTCCTTCTTTCAATTTACCTAAACTATCTGTTCTTGCTTGCAACTTGAAAGTCAACCAGACAGTAAAGCTTGCTTTTCTTACCTCCAGGGAGCTCTGATAGCGTGGTGCCTAAGGCACTTGACTGCTAACCAGAAGGTTGGTGGTTCAAACCCACCAGCCACTCCTTAGAAGGAAGATTGGGCAATCTACTTCCGTAGTGATACTGCTTCGTAAACCCAAGGAGGGGTCACTATGAGTCAGGTCCAACTCAATGGCACATAACAACAATAACAACAGGTTAGATAAGTTGTTGAAAATTCTCTTATCCTAATAATTTCCCCTAGTACACAACAGTTACATTCTCCAAATCCCTTTCAGCTGTAAGGGTAAGTCAGATATACCACCAAAAAAACAAACCTAGTGCCATCCAGTCAATTCCAACTCATAGCAACCCTATAGGGCAGAGAAGAACTGCCTCATTGGTTTTCCAAGGCTGTAAGTCTTTGAGGAAGCAGACTGCCACATTTTTCTCCCGTGGAGCATCTGGTAGGTTCAAACCACTGACCTTTTGGTTAGCAGCCGAATGCTTTTAACCACTGAGCCTCCAGAGCTCCTAAATCAGATAAAGTAGTCCTTTATCAATGTCATCAGGAATAAATATCAAGGAAGAATGAAGAGCATATTTAAAATAAAGGTCTGTTATGTCAGAATTCAGGTGTATAGGTACAAATAACAAACACACATCACATAATTATGAGGGTAATAATGTAGGATGCCAAAACATGCATTTCTAGAATAAACTCAAGTAACTACCCTAGATAAACTGTTTTTTCTTCAAGTATATTTTTGTACATAGACACTAATTTAGTTTTAGATGGACTAAATATGGATTTCACCTCACCCAAATTTCTAACTACATTTTATTGAAAGATAAAGTGGAAACAGGGCAAAATGTTATGATGACACATTAAGGGAACAATA